TTGTCGACACGTCGCAAAATTTCATTAGTTGGGCAACCAGCTGTCTCCCCATCGACCGCTGAGACAATGCGCTGGTCGTGAAATGGTGAACTGGGCGAATTTGCGACGCGCAAGCCATCATTATCGTAGACATTTGGGGCGCTGGTAATGAATGGGTTACCTGACTCCCAGTTAAAACAGAGATAATGGCACAGTTCTGGTTTTTTTCCGCGTACGCGATACTGCCGCTGAATGAGTACTATAAACGGGGCAGGTCTTTTGTTTTAAAATGGACGCGGTCTAACAATTCTCCGGTTTCGGGGGGGAGCGCACGCAAGTACGCGCATCGCAAACAAAGGAGGCAGTGATGGTATCTCCTGCGCACCGGGCCCATGCTTTGTGTTCCTCTCCAGGAATTCACCTTTGATGTTCCCTGTTAGTTATTTCGTCTATTCTTCCTCTCTTCTCACCACGGGTGTGCGTCTACTAGCTACGGAAGTGAAATCGATTAGCGGCCCAACTCATTTTACAACGCTCGTGCTACGGCAACTGCATTACACACATACACAGAAACACACACACGCACGCACGCACACACGCGCGCGCGCACACACACACACACACACACACACGCACTCACAAACGCACACAAACACACAGATGTATGTACGTTCGTACATGCACATGCGTGCACATGCACATAAGAGACGATCATGGAATTAGTAGCATCTAACACCCTGCTCCCTTTGTGACTAATCAAACAAAGAAAATAGAGGAACGCTGCAGGAAATGCAGTACGCGCGCGCGCAGCCGACAGAAGTATAGTACGAGAGAAATCTCGGCGCTCCTAGGCGAGATATGACAAAGGCAAACACGGTCTTTCATTCATTCATTACAGCATCTTCGCCAAAAGCCACGTCCCCACTGAGGCAATAAAACTACTCATAATCCCGGCCACCCCCTTATTCGCTCGGCAAAATTTCCTTCACTCAATAATGCAGCCAATTCCCAGAAATGCTGTTGAAGGAACATAAAACTGTCGCCCTGACAACGCATTGCATATTCAGCACGCCTGCAGGCTCCCGTTGCCATGGAAATGGAAACTTATTAAATTTTTTTCGCCCGCCCGTGAAATAATTAAATGCGCGCAGTAATCAGAGACCCTAATTCCCGATGACCAGCGCCGCTAATTGCATTTTGCTAATTTTAGCCCGCAGTGACTCATTTTAGTGGACACGGACAAACAAAGAGACCGGACCTGGCGCGAGAGAGCTGGGGCCGCGGGTCAATTGAAAACAAAACCCCTGCTAGGCAGATAAGGGGTTGCATTACCGCCTGCTCGTCATTGTTCCCACAAACACTGTGTCGCTCGCCCAGAAGAAATTAAATGTACTCGGAATAAGCTACAGCAAATATAAAGGCGGCAGGGACGTGGGGAGCGGCTGGCAGAAGAGGCTCGCATAGCCTCATCACGCCGAAAAACTGCAGCCTCGATAAATTGAAGAAAAACACGTGAGCCAAAAACGCATTTTTCGCTAACGATAAAATCAATAATTCCTCAAATTTACGCCGTAAATTTTTGAAAGCGACACTGTATTTCACGACGCCCTCGATCACTGCTGCGGCTACTCGCACGCAAGCACGCACGCATCTCGTGTTGCCCGAAGATGGATGGATCACAGCGCGCTTATGATTGCTACGATTTAATTTGCGGCAGGATTGCAGGCGGGCCTTGCTACGAATTCCTGGAACGAAGACACGCGCACGCACGAGCGAATCATTACACGGATGGCAACTCGAAATCGAACGCGAGCATCGCAGCAGCATCGGACGCGCGGGTACGCGTCGCCACGGCGACGCGTAAACAACAAAGCCGGAACCTACGCACGCATCCGCGAGCGCGATCAATTTTTTCCCCGCTGCGGTTCTTGCAGCTTCCCTAGCTGACAGCGAAGCGAGCGCAAACACATTGTTGCCGTAGTGCCGCGGGTTTTCATCATCATCCTCGCAGCATCCATCATCCGTGACCTACTTCACGCAGATGAAATTTGCCCGCACTCGAAACGCAAAATTCGGGGGGCGAGCAGCAACAGTGCCCGCCGCGGACGGTGGATCTTCGGTTCCGATTTCATATCGAATGCGACTCGAGTGAATTGAATTTCATATTGCAAATCTGAATACGGGGGGGGGGGGGAGTTTGTTGATAAAAGCGTGACGAATTTCTTTGTGCTTTTGGCGGTTTATTCGGTCAGCGCCGAACACCCAGACAATCGTACGTGGGAAAGCTGGGCTGGGAAATGTTAGAAATTGCTCGTCGGGGCACACGTCCAGTAATTTGAAAGCAAATAATCAGTGTAATCTTGCACGAACACACACACGCACGCACGCACACACACACACACAACACAGAGAGAGAGAGAGAGAGAGAGAGAGAGAGAGAGAGAGAGGATAAGAGAGAGAAAGAGAGAAAGAGAGAGAGAGGAGAGAGAGAGAGAGAGGCAGCAGAGGAGACGAGAGAGAGAGAGGAGGAGAAGAGAGAGAGCGCCAGAGGCGTGGGGAGAAAGAACGAAAGAGAGAGGAGAGAGAGAGGAGAGAGAGAGCAGAGAGGAGAGAGAGAGAGAGAGAGAGAGCGAGAGGGGGAGAAAGAACGAGAGAGGGGAAAATAGAAAGAAAGAGAACGAGAGAGAGGGAGATAGAGAGAGCAAAACAGAGAATGAGATCGAGTGAGAGAGAAAGAGAGAGAGCGAGATATCGAATGAGCGACATAGAGTGCGCGCGCGTGAAAGAGAGAGAAAGAAAGGCGAGAGATGAGAGAGAGAGAGAGAGAGAGAGAGAGAAAACGAGATCGAATGAGCGACATAAAGAAGAGAGACGTAGTAACACTGTCGCGTATTATTCAACGGATCTATCATTTAGCTTCTTTGAGGGACGGTACAGTGGCATCAACGACTCCGCTAATTATAGCGCTCGCGCATACAGTCGGCAACTTAGCGCAACATCAATAATGTCATTTCATTATCTCGGCATTAATTTGGGATCTGTGCATAAATTGGATGGCCGCGGCCTCCCTCCCACCCCCCTGCCGTTCGGAATGGTGCGGTCTTGATTTAAAGAAGCTTAGCATAAATCAATGGTATGACCTCATTTCAAGCTGAGCTCTCGCTGCTCAGCATTTCTGAATATTATGGTAATAATACACCCTTACTGTTGTTGTTAATCGCACGGCAAGACGAGAAAATACATGTAGGTAGTAGGTGCACAGTCACTGGCAGAGAGACCATCTTATATAGGGATACACACGGTGCATTTTCCGCAATCAATCGCTCCTTCACATTATTGTAATATTCATTCAATATAACCGCACAGCAATGGATAAAATTTTAAAATAAATAATACAGACAATAATTCTAACATCATCCCTGATATTGAGGTACACCTGGCAAAAGACACCCGAAATGGACAAAGATTTGGTATGACAGCAACTTGACCCTAACATGCTCAAGACTAGTTACATGAAACACACGAGGCTAGCACTAATATAAAGCTGTGTTGTTCTCTCCCAAGTGGTTAAATATTTCTTTATGTATCATAGTATACGAAACAAAAAGTTTACCAATCATCGACAATTTAATTCTTTACGGCGAGCATGCGTCCTCTGCGGTCGACACGAGTGCGATCGTGGTGAGTACTAGTTAGTTAGTTCATGAAAACACTTTCATACGAAATCATACGACCGTACGTCTTATAGTAGCAACTGTTATGTGAGCGAAAGAAAATACGTCATCGTCAATACAAACAATACTATACATGTTAGGAAAACGTGCTGGTTGATCGCCGTGGCAACCACCAGAGGACGCATGCCGGCAAAACGCGGTTGACAAACAACCAAATCCATTAATAGAATACATTGCGGTACGATGTGGCCATTATACTCTTCTCTATTCCACAACACTGAACTACTGTATATAGGGTGGTCCACGCGAAATTTGGTCATAGTTCAATAGTAGAGTTACAGCACGCAACATACATACTGATATTTTTTTCCACACAAACACCTATATTCCTAGTCCTACCTTGGATTTTTCTTTGGTTCTTTAACGTGCATTGACCCGCTTGATTGGCTGATGGTGCTGCAGCGGTCGGCCGGATGGAATGTCTCGCTGGCTTTCCCTCGGAGGAACCACGGCGAGCTGACCCACGATGTTGTCGACGTCACCTCGGAGGCAGAAACTGGATGTCGTGGCGACGAGACTCGGTAGACGGGGGCAGAAGCTGGCGTCCCGGCAACAGGACTTGCATCGGGGCGTTGCGGTCGTCATGGCGATGAGACAAGTCTCGGCCTTCCACTTGACATTGGCCGCGTGACATTGGCCAGCACAGTGCGAGGGGTGGGACAGGGAGCAAGGCTCGCGGACTCCTGCCGATCGTAAATGTCGCAGGGTCACCTCGAATGTCGTTGCGGGGGAATACCGTGTGTGCGAATCTAAAGTAGCGGCAACGTCAGGCTTCTCAAGGTAGTCCAGTACAATAATAGACCATCGTAATGACGGCTTCAGCACGAGGGTAGGCCAACGTCGATCACCGACACACGCTGCGTCATTAACATCTTCGGCGCCGGCGCGCAAAATCCGCCACATGCACAAACCCGTACGTCATCGTATCTTGTCTCGATCATGCAGCCCTCCCGGCGGAAAAAGATCGAAGAGAAATAAAAACGCGATGCCTTCCGCGTAATCGGTCTCAGCGGCGTTGCGTAGTAGTTCATCTCTAGCTTGATGCGATGCAACTCTGCTTTCTCTTTCTCTTCGAAACTGTCCAAACAGCAGAGCAAGTAGTCTTCGGAGTTACTGCTGTTCGGATGAGGTAGTTTTAAACACAATAAATAAGACTTCCAACTTAACCGTTGCCGGGTTGTCGAGAAGATGAGCAGATGATGAGGTAGAAGCGACCGTCTGTGAATCTACTACACGCGCACACACCGATATAGGCCATGAGTAGTGACCGACCGACCGACCGGACATTCAGTGCTCTGTGGGGGTCAGCGTGAAGCCGGACTTGACTTCGTGGAGGACCTTTGAGCGCACGGGCAGGTAGACTAGCGACGTCACGAACACGCTGCTCTCCTCGACGTCCGACTCCTTGACAATGAACGGCTGCATGATGAACGACGTCTGGCTGTTCAGGTTGAACGGCGTCGCGTAGCAGATGGGCGGTTTCTTCGCGTCGTCGGCCTTCTCCTGGTTCTCCTCGTTGCCGGACGCCGCCCCCTCGCTGTCGCGGCGCGCGCGCCGACGCGTCGGGTTCTCCTTGTTCGACGACGGGCTGCCGCGAGCGTCTGCCGTCGCTGCCGTCTCGGGCTTCTTGACGACCTCGTACGAGTCCGTGTTCACCTCGCACACGTGCGACTTGAGCAGGTGCTCGCGCACGGCCGAAAAGAGCGACGTCGTAAAGTCGCAGCGCTTGCAGTTGTAAACCTCGACGGCCGGCGGCGGCGGCGGCAGAGGCGCGCGCTTGTGGCTCGCACGGATGTGCGCGCGGCACTGCTGCTTCGACGGAAACTTGGCGCTGCACTGCGAGCAGCGGAAACGCTTCGCCTTACCCGTCGTCGGTTGGCCGGCTGTCGGTTTCGCGGCGGGGTCGCCGCCCGAGGATGCTGCGGCCGGACGGCTGACCATGCCCGGCTCGTACATCTTGCTGCTCGACTCGTGCAGCATGAGGTGGCGCTCGAGGCTCGCGCGGTTGCTGTAGGCGCGGCTGCAGTGCTTGCACACGTGCTTCTTGCCGTGGTACGCCGACAGCTGGTGCTGCGGCGTGCGGTGGCGCTTCTCGTGTGCATAGAGGTTGGAGAGCAGGCGCGTCGAGAACGGGCAGAACGAGCAGGTGTAGAGACGCTTCTTCATCGCCGCGCGCCCCGCCCCCGGCGACGCCCTCCTCCCCGCGCCACCGCCCATCCCGACCTGCCACTCCCAGTCCATGACGCGCTGGTTGTAGGCGTCCGGATGCCAGCGCGGCAGCTGCGGCATCGACTCGGGCGGCGCACACGGCCCCGGGAACGGCGGCGCCATCTCCTGCTGTCCGCCGCCGGTCTTCAGGTCGAGCTTGTGATCCTTTATGAAGTGGATCTGCAGGGAGACAAAGTCGTTGAAGCAGGCCCCGCAGACATCGCACGCCTTGGGTTCGGCCGCGCCCGCCGCCGCCGCCGCCGGAATGTTGCTGTTCAGCTGCTGCTCCTTGAGCACGTCGCCGTGGTCGGCCATCAGGTGCGCGCGCAGCCACTTGACGCTCTTGAAGCGGCGCTCGCAGATGTGGCACACCTCGCTGTAGTGGTTGTAGAAGCGCGGCGGCGCGGCGCCCGCGCTGTCGCCCGACTTCACCGAGCTCGTCTCGAGGCCCGGCTCGCCGTCGCCGCGCTCGGGCGGGACGCCGTGCGCGTTCATCTTGTGCATGTCGAGGAAGTAGCGGTTCGCAAACTCCTTGCTGCACAGGTTGCAGCCGACGATGTGGGTGGGATTCTTGCCGCCGTCCTGCTTCGGCGGCGGAGGTAGACTGGTGAGGCTCGGCGACGCCGCGAGCGCGTTCGGCATGCCCGACGGTAGCGGACTCTTGTCTTCCATGAAAATCCCGTGCATCTTCAACATGTGCGTCTTGAGGAAATACTTATTGCACAGCTCCTTGTTGCAGATGTCACAGAAGTTTCGCCCTGAGAAGATGCCGGCACTGGGCGGCTCCTGACTGCCCGTGTGCCCAATGCCGACCATTGCCTGGACCGAGTTGGCCTCCTTGACCGCGGCGTCCGACGTCGCGGGACTTGACTGTAGGTAGACACCCTTAGTTCCCTGAGAGGTTGGTGTCTGGTCCGGCTGGATGCCGTGTATGTTCATCTTGTGGGTCTTCAGGAAGTACTTGCTGCAGAACTCCTTCTTGCAGATGTGGCAGTACGACTCCGGGTCGACGATGCCGACCTGACCCGACTTGCGGCGCTCGCTCGGCACGAGCGGCGGCATGCCGGCCGCCATCGCCATGTTGAACGCCATGCGGTCCTGCAGAGCGTCCATCTTCATTATCTCGCTGTACTTCATCTCGCCCGGGAGGTGCATCGCGCCGGGATCCATCTTCAGGCCGCCGAACTGCATGTCAGCCGACATGTGACGCGAGCGATCAGCCATCGACGCGCCGCCGCCGCTGCGACGGATGTCGCCGCTGCTGAGCGTGCGCTGGCCGGGACTCAGGCCGCCGCCTCCGCTGGACGCTGACTGACCGCCGGGCTCGTCGCCAGACGACAGCACGCCGTGCTGCTGCATCTTGTGCGCGCGCAGGAAGTACTTGTTGCACACCTCCTTGTTGCAGATGTCGCAGATGACCTGCTCCTTCTGCTTGGCGGCGAACGCCTCCTGCAGGTGCTGGTTGACCATCGCGTCTCGCATTTCTTCCGACATGCCCTGCTTGCTGCCGCCGCCTGCCTCCTCCCCCGCCGCGCCGCCGCCGCTGCCGCCGCCCTTCTCCTCGCCCAGCATCAGCCTGTGGAAGTTGAAGATGTGGATCTTCAGGAACTCCTTGTTCGCGAACGACTGCTGGCAGACGCCGCACACCTCCTCCTTATCGTCGTCGTCGGCGACGGCGGCTGCACGTCCGTTCGGCGACGCCGACCCGCCGTTGATCTGCGGCACGGCGGCTTCGTCGACGCCGCCCCCGCCACCTCCGCAGTGCTTCGTCAGCTTATGCTGGTGCAGATAGTAGATGTTGTGGAACGCCTTCTGACAGATGTTGCAGACAGCCTCAATGCCGCTCATCAGTGGCGGCAGGTCGGACGGCGGCGGCTTGACGTCGTCGCCAGCCTGCGCGCGGTGCGGCGACACCTTCCCCGGGTTCCACAGGATAGCCGGCGGCACCATGCGTGGCGCCGGCACCATCGTCGGCGAGACGAGACTCAGCGAGTATCCACCGTTGCCGCCCGACAATCCGATGCCGTGCATGTTCAGCTTGTGGCTGCGCAGGAAGTACTTGTTGCAGAACTGCTTCTTGCAGAGCTCGCAGTACGCTTCCAAGTCGGTGATGACGCCGTTCGCCTCCACCACGGTGCCGCTGTCCTGCGACGACTCTCCCTGAGATGCGAGCGACTCCCCGCAGGCGCCGGCGCCACCCATCGTCGCCGACACGACCGCCATCCCCTCGTGCTTCAGCGCGGAGGAAGGCATCTTCCCGATGATGCCTCCGCCGGGAGTGCTGCCCGTCGTGCCGCCGGGAGTGCTGCCTGTCGTGCTGCCGGGAGTGCTCGGCGCGATGCCGTGGATGTTCTGCCGGTGCTTCTTCAGGAAGTACTTGTTGCAGAACTCCTTCTTGCAAAGGTCGCAATATGCCTCAGGGTCGACGACGCCCGAGTTCTTCTTGCTCCCAGAAGAGGGCGCCGGTAGAGCCATTGTCGTCGCGATGTCGTCAACGGGCTTCGGGTCGGCGGGAGCGACGAGCGGAGACTCGGCGCCGGACACGATCGTTGGCGGGGTCGTCGGCATGGCGGTCGGCATGGCGGTCGGCATGGCGGTCGGCATGGCGGTCGGGATGACGTCCATGCCGCCGCCGCCGTAGAAGTTGCTGAGGTACTGCGGTACAGACGACGAGAAGTCCGAGTAGATGCCGTGCTTGTTCGCCTTGTGGGTCTTCAGGAAATATTTATTGCAAAACTCCTTGTTGCAGATGTCACAGTACGCCTCGCGGTTAAAGATGCGCATACCCGTACCACCGTTGGACACATGAGGCTGCGCGGCCGACGCGCGCATGTCCAAGCCGTAAACCATGTTTGCAGGCATGCTGCCGCAGCTGCTGCTGCCACTACCCGTAGTAACCACCGGCATCGACATGCCGTTGTGGTAGTTCATGACGAACATCTGGTTTGCCATCGACGACGGCAGGCCCATCGCCATGCAGTCGAGCTCCTTGGGAGACACGTCGTCGCGCGCGACGCTGTCCGAGGTATTTTCTTCCGATCCCTGATTAGTGTAGTCGCCGGCGGCGACGTGCGCCCGCCTCACGTGCGCGCGCAGGTCCTCCTCGGCCGCAAAATGCGCCTCGCAGTACCCGCACTTTACCACAGCGTCGCTTTCACCCGTATCATCTTTACCCGCCGCGGCCGCCGCCGTCTCGTCCTCTGCCTCCCCCTCCTCCTCGTCCTCGCGCTCTCCCTCCGCCTCCTCCCCCGCGAGGGTGGCGGCGGCGTCATTCTTCTCCTCCTCGGCGCCGGCGAGCGGCGCGCTCGCGCGCGCCATCGTCGCGACGCGCACGGGGTTCGACTGCTTGCGGCGCTTGCGGCTCGACATCTCGCCGTAGTCGTCGCCGAGGCGCTTGCCGGTCGCCGCCGGCAACAGCGACGACGACGACGCCGCCGGCAACAGCGACGGCGCCGGCAACAGCGACGACGACACCGCCGACAGCAGCAACTCGTCCGGCCGGCTCTCCGTGTCGGTGATCGTTGCCGGCGAGTTCTCGGACGCGTCGTTGTTGTGCAGGTAGTCGGCGGCGTCCTCGTTCGACGACACCTCCTCGCTGCTCTCGACGACGGTGATCTGCTCGGGAGGCTTCATGCCGGGGTACATGCTCACACTCTCCTCCATCATCATTGCCATTCGTGACCCCGAACGACCTCCGCCTGCCTCCCTCCTCTGTCTGCTTCCTCGCTCAGCTCGCTGGCACTCCTGGTCGTCAACTCCCTCTTCGCGCGTGCTTCTTGCGTCTTTGCGTCAAGCTACGACCAAATGGCGTTTACCTGCAAGTAAACAGAACACCGTTAAGTCGAGCGATGCGACAGAGAATCGATATAGCTGGCTGCAGCAGGGGCCACCTTCATTAGGTCGGCAGAGCCATCTTTTAAGCGCGGAAGATGACCTAGACTCTCGTCGCGTCCCCCCCCCCATCCAGCACAGAGCGCGCGCATAAGAAACGTATAAAAACAAATATGTTAGTGCGAACAAGCACATCTGCCCCTCTGCCTGTTCATATACACGTATAGTTGCTAAATTATTTAGAAGAGCTGCTTTGAAGTTTCACCGGTCGCATGTCCAATTATTGGTTCATGAGATGTAGAATCTACCTAGATACAGTATAGCACACACTGATGCGTACGCCCTCATTTATGAGTAATACCTATTGTAATCGACATTGTGTATATACTACATTAACTAATCAAGATATGCTGTACTAGCAGTTGATTAAAAAATTCCAAACACAATGAAACAGGCAACCTGCTCATTTTTTGCAAGTTTTTTTAAATAAAATTACTCGTATTAAAATTTAACTACGTAATTTTCTTGATAACACATTAATTCAACCTAATGCAGATTAAAAAGTTGTAAAATATAAAGAAGCTATAAAAAACGTTCACCGTTGTGAAAATTGGGCTAGTATTAAAATAATTGCAATTATACCCGATGCAAGCTCGCTGCAATAAGTTACCAGAATTTTCCTCGCTAAACATGCAAAAGAGATTAGCCAGCTGAATCCTGGCAACTGAAAATATTACACCTTTTGTTCCCAATATACATATATATTATTTACTCTTATGCGATGCAATAAAACTTATAGTTATACGACACAATCATCAACAACCAGTGATACTCAAATACAACGACTTTTCTCGTCGAGGAAAGAATAAAAACTCTGAACCTAAACCAGCACGTACTAGAACGTGTACGTCAGAACATGAAAACACGCGTAAGCACACGAGATGCAAGCAAATTTTCCAGGTAACAGCAAAACGCCAACGTCAACATAGCATTTCTCCTACATGTAGGCTGACACGCAAACGCGGCTAGAAGGCAGCGAGTATGTGACTCGTGCGTGTATGCCCGCATGCGTGCAGGGTATAATTGAAATCTATTCACAAATTGCGAACCAGCCGCAAACACAGCTTACACATTAGCCGCGTTTCTGCCGGCTCTTGGGCAATAAGATGATGTCCTACGCATTGATGTTATACGCATACATAATAGAAATACGTGCAAATTAGACGTGCCACCATATCACGAGGATTCGTGCGTGAAACAGAGGAGGAGGAGGAGAAGAGAGAGAGAGAGAGAGAGAGAGAGAGAGAGAGAGAGAGAGAGAGAGAGAGAGAGAGAGAGAATGAGAGAGAGCATGAGAGAGGGAGAGAGAGAAAGAAAGAGAGAGGGGGAGAGAGAGAGATAATGAGAGAGAGAATGAGAGAACGAGAGAGAGAAAGAGAAATAGAGAGAGGGGAGAGGGAGAGAGAGAGCGAAAGAAAAGAAGAAAAGAGAGAGAGAGAGAGAGAGAGAGCGAAAGAAAAGAAGAAAAGAGAGAAGAGAGGAGAAGAGAGAGAGAGAGAGAGAGAGAGAGAGAGAGAGAGAGAGAGAGAGAGAGAGAAAGAGAGATAATGGAAAGGCGACTGAGAGCGACAGGCGGGAGAGACGCAATGAAAAAGAGCAAGAGAGAGATAGGGGAGAATTAAGGAGATCACAGGAGAATGGAACAGGGGGAGACAGGAGAAAGGCTGAGAGTAAGAGAAAGCGAGAGAGAGGGGAAGGCAGGAGGGAGGGAGAAGGAATGGAGAAAATAAGAGGAAGCGACAGAGAGGGGAGGAGGAGAGAGGAAGGGGGAAGAAACGAGTGCCCTCCCTAACACATACGAGCAAGCGTTACGAAGCCCCTGTGAAAGAAATCCAGGAAGTTGCCTCACTAAGCCTATAATGCATCACGAGACACCGCATTGTTGGGTGCCATCCCTGCTGCCCGTGAACACACATACATGTACATCACAGATGACACACACACAAGACAAAGCGGCAGCTCACGACATAATAACGGACATGGCTCAGAATCAACGCTTGTTTAACAACGACGCTCACACAACGGGCGTGCACCCACCACATCGCATCTTCCTAAGGTGCTGCTTACTGCTGCACTGCACGTGTGCAGAATCCTCTTGCGTTATGACATGCCACGACGACGACGACGACGACGACGAACAGGCCGAGTAGAGAGACCTATTAGGCATCTGAGGCATAGAGATGGGTCGTCGTTACGTGCGCACCACCACCATCATCATCGCACGAGAACACCCTTCCGTACGAACGGCAAAAAATCAACTGGGTCAACGCTAGATTTCTCCGCGGCGGCAAAAGCAGCCTCGCTGCGCAGTGGCAAGGGCGCAGCCGCACGCAGCTAGCTCGCAAACAACCGGGGAAAATCGATTGCTGAAAAGAATCAATATTTTATCCCGCCGCCGCTGAAAATGAGGACCCTAACACATACACATACACACATACACGCAAGCGCGAGCGCACTGCGCTAAACTAGGGCTGTGCTTTTCACATGAAAATGTGTGTATTCAGGCAGGGTTCAGAGAGTGTGCGCGCGCCTGTCTGGTGTGTGTGTGAGCGCGCGCGCTCGTTGGCGTGCATGCGCGTGGCGCCTGCTTATGGTGCAAGTGTGCGCGCGTGTGTACATGCGAGCGTGCGTGTGTGTGTGCGTGTGTGTATGTGTGCGCGTATGCGCGCGTGCGTGTGTGTGTGTCTGTGTGTGTGCGTGCGCGCGCTGCCATGCCTGAAAGGAAATGCGCCGCTATAGCGGAGCAGCAGTGGCGAAATGAAAGGAACGGAGGTGCTGCTAAAAATACACATTTACATGTGAATTTTCACAGTTAGGGTTCACGAAAACTGTACCCCGCGATTGCGAGAACACCCAAAAGATTTCACAACAAAATATTTTCGCTCGGCACATCTAAGCACGAGTAGCTGTTACCCACACACACCTATGCATGTATCGTTACATATAGTAGTCGTTAGTCAGCGTTTAGTGACTTTAGTCCAGAAATTCACTTATAACCCAACAGAAATGCGGAGAATAATATGTCTTTATCCCACGTTAATCTGTGCGCACTGAAATAGCATTTTAGCATCAGCACGAAATATACCCACGCGAACATTGAGCTCATATAAATGCATAAAGCGATGGCACACACTTCCTTGTTACATTGAAACAAAGTATTATACGAGGTCAGGCACGCCCACAAGTCAAGACGGTTCACGAATGAACGGAAACGAAACTGTATGACGGAAACTGGCAGTTTAATTTGTAAAACTGCGCCACGCCGAGTATGGTTCTCCACTAAAACTGATACACCATGTAACACCCTAACCCTAACCCTAACACAAATACGATTTTAACATTACGTCAAGAATGCACGATATATTCATAAATTGCACGAATTGTGATTTTGAATTCAAAACTAAGCACGTCAATAAACACGAACTTTCATAAATATATAACGAAAGAAATGTAAAATACATCAATCTTTTCTATGCGAATTATAAATGATTGTTTTTCAATAAAATTCTGAAATTAAACGTAAATATTTAACAAGAAAATCAATACAACCTCGAAAGGATTAACTTTTTGCGCACACTCCCTTCCCGATAATACGGAACGATGTGGATACTTACAGGCATGCACCAAACTACTGAACAGGCTTAGTGGGAGACCTCCGCTGCCGCTGCACAAAAGCGCCTTAAAATTGCAGTGTCGAAACCTACAGTATGTCCAAACCACACACATGTACAAACGCCAGCTCGCCCACGTCCAGATGTTGGTCAGTTCGAAGATTTTCCAGAAATCGGAGCCCCGTGCACTGTTATCACTTTCACCCGTTGCGCGTAAGTGTGCATGCGTGTGCGTGTGAGCGCACTCCAATCTCAAACAGTCGAGTAATTTAGCAAAACCGCTGACATCCTGTTTTCTTAAAGCTGCTTACGAGGTTCTGCGCCGCACAATTGTGCTCTTTGTCTTTAAATGCGACCAGGCACCGCTGCTATTTTACACATAAGCAGGGCGCGCTCGTAATCCTGTTGGGCAACAGTGACCAGTTAGCATGAGAATGAGATGGCAACTGGTTGTTTGCTATTATTCAACATTCTTCACTCGGCAGCAGCTGCCCGGGTTGAAATGACTGGCCAACGGAGCACGAATCAACAAAAGCGCGCGCCCCGGTCAATATCCTGTGACCAGAAACAAAGGCGGGAAATGCCTGTACGCGCCGAACATTTTACATCCATGAATAAAATCCATCAGCCGCTCGCACCGCGCACCTCATTACCACACACACACACACACACATACACGCACGCACGCACGCGCGGACCCACCCTATTGCTGCCCCTCACTCCACACTTGACTCTCGCAGCTCATTCAACTGACCGCTAGAATTCCCAGGCAAGCACTAATACGTACATGTGTCCGAAGGTGACACGGACAGCGGCGATAAAACACAGCCCTGCCTCGAAAATAGCCGAGTCATCTGTACACAAGGACCCCGCAGGATAACGCGCCACGAAAGACCAGAGAAGACGACACAGCAATGTACACACTAAACACATAAAAATTTCCAAAGTCCATGTCGAAGCGGTTAAGCGCTAATGTATCGCGATCAATCCTTAGCGCAATAAGAGTATGGCGGCTTTTCACTAGAATGTCATGCTAGAATGTACGACGCTTCCTAGTTGAGGGTAACAACCCGATGGCGACTCCACGAATCTTCTCGAATCGCCGCGAACGTTCGAGGGCAACCGCATGTCTGCTTCTAAGATAAACGTGGCGCTGTAAAGAGCTAATTCTGCCAGCGAGAATTAATGTCGCTACGATTTACGACTTTACAAGCGTCTTTAAAACAATGGACGCCGCTCGGCGACGAAAAATCACTTTCGAAAAGACAGTAATTTTCCATTTTTGAAGCTTTTACGCGATACATCTTCAAGCGCGCTCTTTGTTCCGCGACCGCTGAAAGGCGATCAGCCGAGGGCCCTCATTTACTAATTACTAATGACCGAGTTTTGCAACTTTCCACGCTGTCAGAAATTTCAGCCGGCGACGCAAACAAGTTTATTACTGTCAGTACGAGCGAAATAATACACGATAAAGTACCGGTTGGCATGCTTGCGCGGTAACACGGAGCAAGTACTGAAGGTTTTTTTTCGGTGCAAAAAACTTATCCTGTTTGCAGACACTAAAATCCAATCGTATAACTTATATGTACCCACGAAAGCATATGCAGTTCTTTTTACGCAGTGGTAGAACTAGTGGACCTTCAAGATTAATTTATTTTTAAGAATTTTTGGCGGAATGCGAGTTTGTTCAGTGCGTTTATTTCGTAAACATCTAAAAATGGGAATTTCTTAAACTCGAAGGAAATATTTTTTTTAGCTAAAATACTTTTTGATAGTAGAAAAAAAACACGAAAACGGCATTACAGATTTACAGCACGCAAATCCCGGCGGGCAAGTATATCGATCTGAACGTTATACAAAAATGAAATATTTAAATAACATCACTGTTGCTACGGGCAACACAAGATTATTTTAAACTTACAGCGGCGCCGGTTTTTTCTCTCTCACTCTCAACCATCGATTCAAATCAGAGTAGATCCATGTAACGTGAGTACAGCACGCCTGCATGTACGTAGTAGTATACTAGTATTACTACTACTCGCGCGAAGACAAAAACATCCACCCACGTGTCACACGGTTGACGCATGCACACCTGTGAAGCCATGCGCACACGAACATCAGGTGCGGCGTTGACGTCGTATCGTCGTTCGTTCATCTCGGCGGGAGTGAAACAGATTTTAAATCCTCGCAATTCCGAAGCGAAATCGTCGCCGGGAAAAAGTGATTCATCGAGTATTACGAAACGCCCTCGCAGGCGAAAGCCACCGCCGAACGTGAATCACACGCGGCGGGTTTCGAGGAAATTGCTGCTGCTCCTCCACAGTGTGTGTGTGTGTGTGTGTGTGTGCGTGCGCGCGTGCGCGGTGTGTGTGCGCGTGTGTGCGTGCATGCGTGTGTGCCTGCGTGCGTGCGTGCGTGCGTGCGTGCGTGTGTGCGTGTGATTCACGGCGTACGTTTTTCGCGAGACATTTGAGCGTATTAGACGCGAGCACGGCGGCAACTGCATTAGGAAACCTTGCTAACTTGCCAAGTTGCCAACTACACATCGGAAACAGCAGCAGCAACAACAATAACAACAGCAGCAGCAACAACAACAACATTGCAACAACAACAACAACGATGACGACGACAACAGCGACAACAGCAGCAGCAGAAACAACAAAAACAGAAGCACCAGCAGCAACAGCAGCAACAACAACAACATCAACACCAACAACAGCATGCAGCAGCAGCAGCAGCAGCAGCAACAACAACCTTGTTACTCATTCCCGTACAACCGCACGACTGTACTAAATACATTCTATGTAAAGCCCGGCGCACACGTGAGCTATTTTACTCAAGTAAAATCACGTATGAGTCATTTTACTCACGTGTGCGGCGGATTTTCGTTGAGTAATTTGACTCATGCGTCATTTTACTTGAGTAAAATAACTCACGTGTGCGCCGGGCACTATATACTACCAAGAGCGCATTAACCCCAAGAGGTCAATGCGCTCTTGATACTACAGATCGATGTTCGTCTTATCAACATGACATACACGATTTCACTGCATACCGATTTAGATGTTTTGAGTTAAAAAATGTCACCTTAACTTTTAATCTAAACGTTATCATCTTCATGCCTTCGTCTAGGGAGCGACGTAAAAAAATCACATTTTAATTTTACTACTAGAGATCGTATGTTAGTTTATGGACTTCGAACTTGGTTATGCCAAAATACATCAACACCTACAACGAGCGGTTATATTGATTCACTCATCATGCATGCGTGTATGTGTATGCGTGTATGCGCGTGCGTGCACTTTGTGTTTGCATTCTCTAGTGCATGTAGTGTTGATGTGACATAAGCGCCAGATAAAAGAAAACGTCTCTATCTACTATACATGAATGTAATAAGCAAGTAGCATGAGACAATAATAGCACACGTACGTTTACTCACAATAACTGATAATCAACGAAAAATTCAAAGCACAAAAACCATGCACCTATAGCAATATA